TGTCCCTTGCTCCTAAACCAAGAAAGCTTCTGGGCCTTCGGTAGAGAAAGGTAAGGCAACAACTGGTTTAAAAACAAACAAGCGAAGAGTAAGATTTAATAAGCCTTAATGTCAGGAGCTCCGTTTTCAGTGTTGCTCACCCATAAGAGGTTTCTTTGGAGTCTCAGATTGGCAGCAACCACCAAAATGTTGTTTAATGTGCTTGAGTGCACGTGTGAGTGCTGAATGGTCGTTGTGTAGGAGTGAGAGGTTGGGGGGGGAACCGGCATAAAATGAATTCCCAGCCAGGGAGGCCTAACCACGTTTTAGGCAGCCCAAGTCAATAAGCTGTGACAGGTTTTTGTGGGGCCTGGGAAGGACCAGGTCAGGAACCTCCCTTCACGTGGCTTTGACGAGGCAGCAGTCGCTGTGATCGTGCCCCGGTGGTAAAGCGGGTAGTCCTAGGACAGGTGAAAAGGGGGAGAAGAGCTCAACCCACAGGGGTACAAGACGTTGCCAATTTTCTGGAGGGAGGCTGTTCCCAATGCCTTGTAAAATACAGTCAAAGAAAGGCACTCTGTGCAGTAAAGCGCAGCAGGCGGAGAGGAGAGTGCAGTGCGTGCTGCGGCCAGCGTGTGATACATCACTGCCCACTTACGGGGGGTGCGGGGGAGCAGGACTGCAGCCTGACATTAAGTAGCTTTCTTAATACTCCTTTCTCTTTCTTGTTTTTGCAAAGTGCTATTTTTAAGTCATGTGAAGTAGAGTGTGTTTATGTTAGGTACAATCCACCTTTTGACTAAAAGCGTTGTAATTTTGCAACAAAGGCAGGAATTTACGGAGTGAGGTTGTATGGCAACAAAACCTGTTTGTTTCTATTGTTCTTTGGAACAGACAAGTTATCTCAAGTCACACATTTTCAGCAGTAAGCATTTATGTTGGTGAGCAGACTCCCTTTCTTTGTTCATATGTAGGAACGGGAAGTGGCAGGAATGAAAAGCTAATTTTGCTCTTCACTGAAGCAGGGAGGATCAGGGACAGTGCAGTGCTAAGCTGCTTCCGTGGTTCCTGTTTGGCAGGCCTGCGAGGGGGAGAATGGTGTAAAACAGCTCTCAGGCCAATGTTCGGCAGAGTTTTTCCTGAATTCGGTGTTTTAACCGGTTGTTTCCGGACTGATAAGGTGGTGGAATAATAGGCGAAAAATCCAAGGGCAGCCCAGTCTGACGTTGCTGGAGTGTTGTCTCCGTTTTGATTGGGGTCTTTTATATTGCCTGCAGGTGTTGCGTCAGCCCTGAGGAAAGGCAAAGTTTGGAGGTGGGAGTAATAATGTTACCTTTTACAAGACAAGCAACTTTTCAGATGTGAAATGATGGAAAAAACTGGATGTGACATAAGTTTCTAGGTTTCATTTCTAGTGAAATTACTAGCAAAACTGATCCAGATTTATGAATAGTCTTGACTTCCCTAATATAAGTTTTTCAAAGAATAAATGAGCTACCAGAAGTGTTTCTAGGTCCATTTCTGAGCACCCTCTTACAGTGTGCAGCACACTTAACTAGGACTTTCAGAAACATGTCATGCATAGGATCAAATTCTTTTTTTCAGTGTAAAAAGGGAAAATGCTTAGTTAAGCATATCTTCATTTATTAATTTAAATAAAACAAAATACTGGATTTCGATACAGCAGTTGATAGTATTTCACAGCCTGTGAACAAACAGAAATTATATTACTGTGCTTGGCATAGGTGTCACGTTCTTTTATATATGAAGTAAAAGGTACATCAGTGATTTCTCTTTAATGATGGTGTGTCACTACTGGCTGTTGTGTCTCTTTCCATTTACTAAAAATTGCATATTTTATGTCAGAAGAGACCAAAACTTACAATCATTAAAATTGATACCAGCTTGGCTATTGCTTATAATGGAAGCATGATTAAACTGACAATATTTCAGTTTGTGTTACTTTTCTTTGGAACATGCCCTCTTTAATGACAATAATTGTAATTTAATAGTATGTCCAGCTGGCAGTTTCTTGATATATTGCCTGGCTTATTTGTGGTAATGACATTTTTGGTATGTTGTCTAGAGATATGGCAGAATGTTTTAGATCACTCACTGAGTCTTTGTTTGTTGTCATAAGCAGGTCCAATTCAGTTATTTCAAGGTTGTAGTTCCTGCCTGTGAACTGAAGGAGCGGGTTTGTATTTAGAATCTACAAGCTTTTTTTGTCTGTGAGTATATTGCAATAATAGAGTACTTAAAACCTCTTGGAGAGCCTGTAGCAAAGCTCCCCAGTTATGAATTATAGAAATTATTTTGAGATCTTCTACTCATGTATTGTGTATGGTTTTTTTTTCTAGAGCCTCAGGTATTTGGTTTTGCTGGAAGTCAGGTAATTCTTTGGAAAAGGCACTTTTTTGCAACATTTTTTAAAAATAGTCAAATCCCCATTAGCTGGCAGTAATATTTTTAGCAGAAAACTTCTGACTGGTTTGACTCGCTGCTTCAGAGGTGTGCATGTGCCATTTCCTCCTGGGGTTTTCTAGAATTTAGCATACCTAAAAGTGAAGAACCTGAAAAAACCTCCTCTGCTCTGCAGTGATGGGATCATGGGTCAGGTAGACCTTTCAGATGGCTTTGCGCAGATCTTCTCCTTATACTGAGTACTCCAAAAGAGAGGGAGTTGTTGTTTTGTTTTTTTTAAAATTAGTTATATTTCAATAAAAACTAGAAAGTTAACTGTTTTTTTTTTCTTCTTAACAGCGAAAACTCAAAGCCACTAGGGAATACAGGAGAGAAATCAGTAACTGTCCCCAGCCCTCTGTTTTTACAGGCAGGTCTTTGCCTCCACACTTAGATTCAGTTAACTCAATGACTTTCTTAGTGGCAGCATATTTCCCCAGGAAACTTTTTCACCATTTCTGAGACCTGGCTGTCTGCTCCCTGTTCTTCACCGCGGTGTTGTAACATCCCTGCATTAACTGCAGGTTCCTGGGGCTATGCCATGCTTCTCATGCCCTACAGTCTTTCAGATCTTCTCCGTTTTGAATAGTCTTGGTAGCTCTTCAGGAAATGGAGCAGTCTCCTTCTTCCAAGGACACCAGCATAACCATTTTTTTCAGAGAACGTAACACAAACTAAGAACATACAACTGTTTGTCACATTTGTTAATAGAGAGAAATGCTTGTTCTGTTTTCAGAGTTCAGTGAATGAAAACAGGAGGTGCATTCTGGGTCTTGCACTGCCGTCAGAACTTAAGGTTACTTTGTGCATGTCACTTATCTCTCTGTATTTCCATTTCAAGGCTGTTAAGATGAGGGTAAGAATGATCATGGTTGGAAAAGCTCTTTCAGCTCTTTGAATGCAAGTTATTCTTTAAGAGCTTCTGCTTTTTTCTCCTTTAAGAACTTCTGCTTCCCAAGATGGTTCCTAAGACCGGTTCCACCAGGAGATTTTCTTCTTTGTAGGAAAGTTGCTCTGAAATTTTGAATTGTCTTGCTCTGGATGCTCTACTGAATACTGGGAGCCAAATCCATACCCTGTCCACTCTGTTGCTGTGGATCAGCAATACCAACTTGAAGCGCCATCAGAGTGCCATCGGGCATTTAGAAGGCTACAGGCTGGGGCTTGTGACTGAGCAATCCCTTTCTTGCAGAACTTCCTTCTGCAAAATTTGTTTGGTGGCTTTTGGACTTCTCTCGTTGCTGTCTTATGTTTTCTCGTTGCTGCCTGATTCACCTGGGACAACATTGGCATGTAGGTTGAAATTTTTGTGTGGACAGGAGACAGAACTAGAATGAAAAGTAGTTTTTTCCTTGTCAGCTATATGGAGTTAAAGCCATATTTAAGGCAGTTTCACTCCAGTGAGATTGAGAGGGAGAAAAGGACAGAGTTTAGGGAGATGATATCTGGGAGACAAGAACAGGATCAGTGTCCGCAGATGGAGCAATGAGAAAGATGGGAGAAGGCAGAGGCAAGAAGTGGTGAAAAATTTGCTCACCTCAAGGTTTGTTTTAAAATCAGAATCAGTGCTCTGCCAGTGTTTATTCAGCACCAGTAAACTGTGATATAATATTATGGGGCTGTATGTTATCCTTGTGACATGTTTGCATTCTGTATAATTTTCTTTCTGCTGAAATAATTGCAGTAAAGGATATGGTACGTGGTGTCCTTCTGCATCTGTTCCAAGGTCAAGTACAGCACATGTGTGAAAAATAGTTTCTAAACTTTGTCTTCCTCAGTGTACTTCTGAGACTAGTTACAAGAGGCAATTAGAGTTAACTTTCCAAGCAAAAGGGAAGCATAAAAAAAAAAATCACAACCTGGATTTGAGCATGAACTTCTTGAGCATTGGTTTGGAAATGTACCTGCTAATGTTACTGGCATATTTTCTTCTATTCCACATAAACATTCTTGGGATGTTCAAAGCTAAGGCTGCCAAAGTTTGGAGAGGTTTACTTTTGAGTGTACTTAATTCAAACGACAAGAACGGTCCATTTATCTTGTGACCTATTTATAGCCATTAAACAAACCGTGGCAAATGGATCTGCTTTACTTAATTCACTACATTTGGTGGAAGATTAAGAGCATGGAAAATACATTCATAAAAATAGGTATGTTTGTGTCTGATACCATGCAAATCTCTGTATACTGCAGAACTGTCATTTTTAAAATAAAAGTAGGAGTTTATTCTGCAAGACAAAGAATTGAAAATAAAATCATTATTAGATAACTACTTTGGCAGACCAAATGTTGGGGGGATTTGGTTATTTCTCATTGTGAGCTATATATGATCACACTTATAAATCTCCAAAAATAGTATAAACATGAAAAAATGTGATTTATGTTCTGGTTCATTTTAATGATAAGAACACCACATTTTGAGGGTTTCTTTTAATTGTGTTTTGTTTTCAAGGTGTTCTCAACATGTTAAAAGATTTGATGTATTTTTCCAGAAGACAGTATTTTTATATTCCCTGTGTTACAAAGCTGCTAACTGAAATTCTCTTTTTGCTTTTCAGGTTGTTTTTGAAGTGGTCACTTCAGGTCACCCAGGATATGTGGCTATTGATGAAGTGAAAGTTTTAGGACATCCATGTAGTAAGTACCTGTCTGCTGTTTTAAAGTCAGGCCTCTAAAATGAATATACCACTATGCTTCAATGAATGTGGAGGGAAAGATACGGAAAACATCAGAAAACAATGCCACTGCTATAAATATAGGCTGAGTATGTACAAAGTGTTGCTAGCATTTGAGCACTTGCACCTTATTGACTTTAAAGAGATCTCTTACATGCACCTTGTGTAGAGCGCTTGGCGTAAGCCCCAGAGCCTAACTGGGCCATCTAATGACTCCTTCGGAGCAAAAGTCATCAAGATTTGTTGACCAGTTTTCTATTGCCATCAAAAATTCAGTGCAGCCACGAGCTGAGGCATTAGTGAGTGCAGATGAACAATGCAAGAGCTGAATATATATGATTATTTTTTCCAAGGCTTAGAAGGAAGAAAACTCAGCTGGTTGAGGGCTGAGGCTTTGCTAAGCAAGGTTACTTAGGGTACTTCCCCAGGTATTGTGCTTTGGGTTCACAGCTCAGTTTCTGCACTGTTTTACTTGCTTATATTTCAGTTGTTTCCTTATTCCATTATTAAGGATATGTAATAAACTATCCTAAGTTCTTTTAAAATTGCTGTCAAAACAAAACCAAACCTTGTAAATTAAAGCTTTAATATAGCAATCCAGATGTAATTGAACAGACTCCTTAAATGATTATTTCACATATTTGCTATTTGTTAAATAAGGTGTATTAAGATCATACATGGAATTGTAGGTTGTAATCTTATTGACCAAATGACTGAGTGGGGAAAAAGACACCAATTTCTGTGTAATTGTTCACCTTCCTCTTACAGCATATTGTACTTGTATGCATTCTTTGTGGCTTGTAAGAGCTGCGATTTAAAATAAAAAATGGTTTATCGATTAGTATCAGAGCACCTCATAAAAATGGTTTTAGTGGCAAGAAGACACAGACATTTCTTCAAATACAGAGGCAGTTATGCAGAATCAGCAGCTGTTCTTTCTGAATCACTTAGTTCTGATAAACACAGCAGGCTCTCATGTTGTTAGGCAGTATTTGTGGTTCTGCATTTTGAATTTCTATCTTTGGTTCAGGTAGGATAAGTCTAAAGCAGCATTTTATGAGCTTAATAATTTTTCGTATACAGATTTTGAGAGGTTTGATCTGTGCATTTGTACCAATCAATTCTCAAAACCTGCAAGTAGCTCTTGTTAATGTGGAGACTAAGTTATATCCCATCGCACATAGAGTTCTAACGTGACAGTGTTGAAATGCAAAAGCTTTCATGAAAAGTTCTTTGATGAAGTAATTAAAATGTTAGAAATTAAGACATCAAACCAGTTACGTTGTCTACAAGAAAATTGAAAAAGTGTGAAAATTGGAATAGAGCTACCGTGTGTCTAAAACTTTGCAAGACTCATAATGCTATTCTTTCTGTATATTGCCAGAAAAAATAATTTTGGAATAATTAACTCTTTAAACAAAAATTGAAATGGGAAAAATACTCACTAGGCAGTACAGACAAAGACCAAGCAGAAAGCAATTTGTAAGCATGTAGAACTGAAAGGGATGGCTTGTGGTGTGTGGGGTTTTTTGTGTGTGTCTGTGTGTGTTTGTTTTTAAAACCTAACGCCTCTCTCCACTTAGGCCATACCTGGTAATTCAGAAAGGCGAGTTTTCCAGAGTTTAGGAAGATTGAGAAAAAAAAAAAACAAGTGGGGTAAAAACAGATGTAAAAAAAAAAAAAAAGTGACTGAGAAATGGAGAACTTATTGAAGAATTTTACTGGATAGTCAGTATTAATAGTTTGATAGGCAAAGAAGAGGATGACTTTGGCCTAAAGTCTGTCTGTCCTAATTGGGAAGTGTTTAAGAAAAAAAAAAGCAGTATGTCTAATAAATTTGCCATAAGGACAGTTATCATAAAAAGATTTCCTTCCATAGTTAGATATTAATTTGGGCTATTTTAGTCCATCTCCTCCTCCTTATACTGCCTTGCACTGGATATTAAGCAACGTTTTCTTGAATTCTGGTAGCTGGTTATTTATAAATTCCTTAAAACTGCAATTTCTCCCAGTGATAAGGTCTTATAAGAAAATGTCATCAGCACTTCAAATGGTTGCGATGCTCTGCTAGAAAGTATATGTTTAGTTTGCCAGTTTATTGCTAGCACTAACATTTCTATGTCTGAAAGCAACGTTCAGAGCCTGGCTTATCTGCTAGTATAGACCGTGCAAAAAGTCCCCTTGCCTGCAGTAGGATTTGAATGGTTGGGGAATACTGCCTTTTCAAGGATAAGTTTCTGTATCAAATTTCTGTGTCATTCTGTGTCACGTGATTGACTCTTTCCAGTAAAACAAAAATACACAGGCTATCTTTCCTCCTTCAGTGGACATAGCTCTTGTTTGAATATCTATTGCATTTGTTAGGTTATTTGTAGCTGTATTACTTTAATTTTTACTGGGAGCGTTTTCTCTTTCTAAATGAAAAATAAGTATTGGTATGGGGAATGCATTATGTTTTGCTTTTTTCTGCAGTGTTGTTGAAAAGAATTGTATTACGAGAATACAGCTGTAGCTGGTGAGAAGTGTTATGTTAGTATTTTAGCTGTTTGGTGTGCTACATTTCTAAGGCATCTCCTTACAGACACTGTACCTGGTTAAAAAGAAAAACTTGTTTCCCTGACAACATCACTCAACTTCTTACTGTTTTGTCTAGTTGGTAGTGTAAGTATCTAAGGTTTTTGTTCAAAACAAAATTAGTTTCCAATATGGTCTTTATTAATAGAGTGTTATTGCAAGAGAGATGCTGAGTTAAGATAATTTACACTGCAGGAACAATTAAATAGCACCCTTCTCTTCTGCTCTTTCCCAGGTACGGAAGTAAACCAACCTAAAATCTAATGTGTTGTCAGTGATTTGAACCTTTTAAAGCAGGGCTATTTAATTTGCTTAGTGTATTATTCATAGCCAGTACTTCCATGTTGCATAACTTCAATACTTTATCTTCTTCCAACAGCAAAAACTCCCCATTTCTTGCGCCTTCAGAGTGTGGAAGTCAATGCAGGACAATTTGCTACTTTTCAATGCACTGCCAACGGTGGAACAGAGTCAGGTGACAGACTCTGGTTACAGGTAATTTCTTTCTTTCTTAATGCACTGAGATCTGGGGGGAGAGGAGATCATCACTCTGAAAGGAATGTAAACATGAAAAATGATAGGGCTGTCTGTTTCATCAATACTAGATTTTATAGCACCTTTGAACTGCTGCATAGTAGGTGTTCTGTTGTAGAAAATGATACTGGAAGATTTTGCTCCCTTATTTCAATGGGATACCTTATTAAAAATAAAGGTACTGTTTTTGTTACATGTGGCGATCATGAGTAAAGGCTAAATCCCCAAGGAAGAGCACATGACTTTCTCATAATGTCTGTGCTGGCTAACTGCAACATTACACACAATAATTTTCTTGGCTTACCTCTATCTCTGTTTAGTATTTGCAGCTAAAATTGCATTCTTACTTTTTAAGTCTGGAGAAGACCAGTAGGACAGCCAAGTCTGACCTTTGGTATTACAGAGCCAAAGAATCTTACCTATATTCATTGAGTCCATAATTTTTTACTTATTGAGTAATGTAGCTTCTAGATAGGTGTCAGATCTTGATATAAAGGCTGTCTCCAACTCCTTTTCTTTCAGTAAAGACAGTCTCGCCTTATCTGTATGTGTAACTTTGTATCAAAAACATGCATCTCGCTTGATCTCTTTTCGTAATGGGGGTGCAAGTTTAACTGCCGTCTTGCTGCCATCATTTCAGAGCTGTCTGTTCTCTACAGCATACGATAGTCTGTATTTGGACTTAGCAGACCTCCAGATCCCTATGCTTTCCGTACATGAGAAACAACATGCTAGAACTGGGACCTTGTCTGTGAGAAGGAAATAAGGATGCTTAAAACAATGCCTAAGGAGATCTGTCAGATGAAACTGCAGTATGTGGAGGAGGAGGGATAGGAGAAATTGAAGCTATAGTAACGGGTGGGACTTAGAGATGAAATTCTCTATTTTTGTTGTTTAAACAATTTCAGGCTTTTACTATAGTTTTCCTTTCACATCGCACTTGGTGCAAAATTTCATCAAGCATTTCGGAAATGATTCATGTAAGTGTGACAGGTTAAAGAGCTGAGTAGTTATAAGAAAAGTAGCACACAAGTAAGTAAAACCATTTGAAAAGCAAAGAGCCATATTTATCCATATATGAATGATGAACTGTTATGTCTATCCAGAAAGAGCCTGATCAAATCCAGTAGAAGGCAATGGAAATCTCCTTTGTTTTTATTTGGGTTTGCATGGGTATTTTCAACCTCTGTGCTGATACAAGGCTGGTATTTCTCTAATGCTCCAGCCCTTTAAAGCCAGTATTACAGTGTTGAATTGGTAGAATTAGACTCCTGTCTTTCCTAAGCCACTGAGATTTTTTGAAAGAATGATTTTTCTAGTCATGAAAAGAGTTTAGCACGCATGGGAAAATAATGGGTTGTTATTTCATCAATGATAACCTTTCTAGAACCTTTGAACTTTTGCATAATGCTCTTTTGTAAAATTGAAGGTAGAATTCAGTATAGGGAAATCCTGATTCCATTCAGTTTTTCCATTGATTTCAGGACAGTATAAATACAGCGTTAACTTTTTTGCACGGAATTTAGGAGACACATAAATTCTTTGCAAGGCTGGAATGTCATGTCTTTATTTTAGAAATTAAATATCCTTCTAGATTTTATGTAATATAATATCATTCTTCTTAACAGCAGTAGCGATTCCAGAATATCTTTGCTGAGCTTAATTAAGTGATTCCTTGTTTATACATGATTATGAGATTTTTTTTTTTTTTCTCTATATGAAGGATAAAAAAGTAGTGACAGATTGACTTGTTGAGGAATTTAATCTTCCTGCAGGGCCACTGTTTATTTATCCTGCCCATATAACTACAGGTCCCTCTGGTAATCAGTCCAAGGTTGTGCAAATTCCAGGTGTGCCTTTGTGTAAGAAGATTTTAAAAGTTGACAGGATCTCCTGGATAGCTTGGATTTATTTTTGTACTTGTTTGCCAGTTTCCACAGATGTCTGCTGCAACTGACAGTAAGACTGATCAGACAGCTCCACATGTGGGATGCTGCAAATCAAGGCTATGAGATACAGTTCCCAACAGGATTAGCTGTATTTTAGTGTACTAGGTCACTATCGGGTAACAGATCCCCAGACCTTGCAGTTCTCCATCAGTCAACTGAGACCATCTGGTTTCATGGTGTGATACTGAGGAATTTTGTATACGTCTGCTTATAACATCTCATGACACTGCCACAGGACCATGAGTACAATGCAGCTATCTGTAATAGCCGTCAGAAAACATGGTATCTTCTACGTCATATGACTGGTTAAATGGACATGAAAGATCCTTTCGTTCCCAGAAACAGTAGAACCGATATTCAACTACAAAACAACTTAATAAAAGACATTCTTCTGTACACTAGAGCCAGAATAAAATGAGCACCATTCTCTGGAGACATATATGCTAGCACTTAGGTAATAGGGATTCAGGTTTTAGTGGTGCTATGAACGGGTCGTGCAATCTCTCTATGCCTAGTTTGTCCACCAGTAATATCAAGCCCTTTCTACTATCCTTTTGATGGTTTGTTTCCTTAAATTTATAAAACCTTGAAGGTAAACCATAGTAAATAAAGAAATAAATACAGATGTGTGATTTTATCAGGGGCTTCTCAGCATTTCTGCCACATAAGTCATATCAGGAGGCCTAATCTGTTTGGATTTGGCAATTCCAAAGTATCGTGCGGTAATTTGGTTCCAAATGATTTCCAATACCTGTCATTTGTTTTCAGATTCACATTGTTAGTCTGAAGTACAGGTAAATTGCCAGGGTGAAATCACAAACCCACTGACTTCAGTGATGTTTCTGACTGTTTCCAGTGGTGGCAGGATTTTACTCCTGTACTTCTATCTCTTTTATATAGTACCTCTCAGCTTGTAGGCAGCAGAATACTTCAAGTTTAGTAGTACACATTTTTCTGGTGAACAAATACTTCGCCTTTTACAGTCTGTTGGATTGTGAGTGAGATACGTTCTTTAAAACAAAAGAATTATGATGACTTGGTTGGTTATTTTAGTCTCCTTGTCTTTGCTGAGTAGTTGTTGCAAATGGCATAGATGTTCTTAGTTTAATAATGCCCAGGCCTTGAAGCAGTCCTAAGTGAAATCCATAGATCATATTTTGTTTCCCTCCTTTTTTTTTTCTCTTTTCAATCCTATCCCACTCTTATTCCCTATGGAATATGAAGTCTATTAATCTATGGAGTATTATGGAAGTTTTTGCGATTGAAAGGGTGATGGGGGAGCCACAATTCACAGGTTAGCTGCCCAAATTAGACACTGAGCCATGAAATTTGTTTCATGATGCTGTGATCAGCATTTACTCTTTCGGGAAAGGGAAGACAGAAAGCTGTTTACCTATTCCATAGTGCAGCGCTTTGCAAGAAAAACATTTTTCCTGATCCTGCTAGGCAGCCATGCACCCTAGTGCATGAGCTATGATTGCAGGCTTGTCAGATAATTTGACAACAAATTAAAGGTATTTTCAGTGATACCATTTCAAGTTAAAGTCAAACAAAAGGACTCAAGAACACAACGCAGCATCATACAAGTTTGTTTTTGTTGTTGTAACTAGTGTCCAATTAATAAGGTCATTGGCTAGATTGTATGTTTATGAATTCATGTCCTCGTTAGTTTATGTTCTAAACATAAATATACCTTAAAAATAAATCTAATTGCACTAATGAAGGAATGTTTACAATTAACAGATATGTCCCATCTGCTTACATTTTCTTTATCACATTTGTGGACAACACAGGTTATAGTCAGTATGGGATGACTCTTTCTATTCCATTGAATGATTGAGCAAAAATGCCATTCCTGTGCTCCCACTGTAAGGGCTGTCGCAATTGCTGTAATTTTTTTTTTTTGATTAAACAAATTCCTCTCTGAAACTAAAAGCTCCAGAAGTTGACACCAACAGTAAGATAAAACACTAGGCACTAAAGGAGCTGGGAATCTCAAGGAATGGAAATACACTTCAGAAAACAAAAAAACATTTGTAGGTGGGAGCCAAAGTTAGAATTTGGAAAAAAATTAACCTGTGGAACACAGAACAGTTAATGGTCAAGTGAAAGCAGCTGGGACAAAGTCTTCTGAAAAGCTTGTGCTAGTATTAGTGTTTAGTAAATTGGCACAAGAAACCCAAATCTGTATAATAGGAGAAAGAGGGTAGAATTCTTTATTGGAAGTAACCTTCTTTTGGTGCAGCCTAGAACATTGAAAAAGCAAAAATTGTGCTTTTCACCAACACCTTTGAGCTAGGAATCTAAATGTAGCTTGCAAATTAGAATGAAGTTTAGAAAAATAAAGATTTACTTAAAAACAGGTAAATTTCTTCCACTGCAAGCCAAGGTATACACATACGTAGATTTTCTTCTCTGCAAGTTTATGAAATTTGAACTATCATGTATTGAATATTTACACAAAATATTATGTTTAATAGTAACTAAAATTAAAATTATTACCAAGTGAAAACTGCTTAAATATTAAAATAAATGTTTCGAAGGCAATACTTGGGAGAAGTTGTGCCTCTGCAGCCTTAAAAGTTTGAACCTCTTGAGCCTATCTTTTTTAAGTGACATACTAACATCCATTTTTTTCCACAGAATCCCCATCTCGTTCAGTATAGTGGACATATTCAGTTGATGAATAGCTCCTTAATATGTGGGTTCCTTCACACAAGTATATTTAGGGCTTCACTTTGCCTACTAAATACTGTACAAATCAATTCTGAAAACAGGTTTATTCATTTTCTAATGGAATCTTTTCTACTAATCTTAGTGCTTCACAATATTAAGTTGTTTCAGTGGGATGGATTGATAAGATCTTCATTTTATAGTTGAAGAACATAGACACTGAGAAACAAAACGTATCCTTTACTTTTGGAAACAGTCTCTGAGACATCTGGACCTGATTTTCTGCATGTGAGGCACCAAGCACTTTCTGTGCTCAGTGTCCGCTGATGCTAGTTGCAA